GGACACCTGTCAATTCTCTGTTTTGTCCCCAGATCCCCCAGTCAATTTCTTTTACTCTGGTGCAATGAGTCCAACCCTTTTCAGCCATCTTCACTGCAGTCTCTGTGGTCAGGAGCACTTGGTAGGGGCCTTCCCAGCTGGGCTGGAGTTGATCTTCTTTCCAGGATTTTACTAACACTAGGTCCCCAGGCTGGAAGCAGTGAGCAAAGAACTCAAGTGGGGAAGTCTGGGTGAGGAGTCCTTTCAGCCTGAGAGAAGATAAGGTAGAAGACAAGGCCAGCACATATTCCCTTAAAAATTTCTTTTGTTTCCATAGTGGGCAAGTCTGTTGCCCTTCCCAGATATGGTAGCTCATATAATAATTATTATTCCCTGTAGTACTTTTGAAGTAAAATGACTCCTGTTATCTGAATCAATATTTTCTATTAACCCAAACCTAGGAATAACTTGCTCTAAAAGTACCTTTATCACTGATCCTGCTATTGCAGTTGTTAATAGGGTGGGCCTCCACCCATCCAGTGAGATGATCAACAATCACTACTAAATATTTAAGCTTTCCCACTTTCAGCATCTCAGTAAAGTCAACCTGAATACTTTGGAATGGTCTTATTCCTGGGAGTCTCTCTCAAGATACTGGCTTTCTCATACACTTATTAGTTCTTTGGCACATTATGCAGCTCCTACAAACCTGTTTAGCAATGGTGTAAATGCTAATACACCCATAAACCTTTAGCAAAGCATCACACATCACCTGAGGACCCCAATGGCTCCCTCTATGTAACATGTTCATCAGTTCTCTCATAGTAGGCTGGCCAATCATTTCTCTCCTATCTGGTAAAGTCCACCTCCGTTTCTCATCTCGAGATGCCCCCACCTCCTGTAGCTTCTTAATCTCCTTCTTGGAAAACTTTGGGATCAATGAGATTTTAGGGATATTTGGGGTGAGATTCAAAAATCTAATTTCATCTTCAGATGCAGCCTCTTTAGCAGCTACATCAGCAATCCTATTACCCATTGCTTCATAAGAACTACCTTTCTGGTGACCATTCACATGCATTATAGAAATCTCAGCTGGAAGTACAAGATTTTCCAGAACCTCCTTAATTCCCCATGAATCAATTCCTGTCCTTTACTATATATGAGACGTCTTTCTGTCCAAATTTTTCCAAAGGTATGGACTATTCCGAAGATATGTCTGTGTAAATGGTGTCCTCCTTATCTGAAAGTAGTTTTAAGGCCTGATTAAAAGTAAACAACTCACAGGTTTGAGCTGACCAATGATTGAGTAATCTCCCCTTTTCACAGATGGATAACTGGTCTCCATCAATGATGGCATAGCCATTATGTCATTTGCCCTCTATCATCCAGGAGGACCCATCTATAAACAGTTTCATACCCCCACCTAGAGGAGTTTCCCTTAAATCAGGCCTGACTTTAGTCTGATACTCTATGAGGTCCATGCAACTATGGCTCAATTCTGATTGACCTTCAGCCTTCCCTGCCCATAGGAAGCTGGTTGGATTGAGACAGGTGTCTGTGGTTAAGATCAGGTCATCTTTTTCAAGTAAAATTGCTTCATATTTTAAAATTTGAGAATCTATTAGCCAGTGCCCAGCCCACTGATTAAGTAAGCATGACCCAAACCTGGTGAAGAGTACTAACGAGGGTTCCTCCAAGTTAATTTCCTGCTCTCTTCCACCAGTAAGGCCATGGCTGCGATGGCCTGAATGCATTCAGTCCATCCTCAAGAGACAGGGTCCAATAGTTTAGACATAAAGGCTACTGGTTCTTTCCTCCCAAGGCTTGGGTCAAAACCCCTACAGGGAACCTTGTTCAACAGTAACAAACCAGTGAAATGGCTTCTCTAAAGATGGGAGTGCCAGGACTGGGGTGGTGACTAAAGACTGCTTTCAATTTCTCTAGATTTTGCAGTTTCCCTGGGTCCATTGGAGAGGATCTGACTCTCCCTCTACCAATTTGAAATATAAGCTTCTAGCCTCTCTTCTAACAAACACTTTTTGAGCTTCTCTCAGTAATTCCTCTATAAGTTTTGTAAGAATGAGTTAGCATGAGAATGGCCATCTTAAGGGCTGAAAAGCCATTTTCTGAGTGCATGACTCAGGAAAGGAAGAACTGGGTAAGGCTTGATAAACAGGTTTTGAAGAACAAGTTAATCATAGACACCAGGTTGTGGGCGGCTGCGACCCTTGGTCAGTTAATCATGCATACCAGGTTTTGGGCGGTTGCGACTCTGGTCAACTTATCTTGCTGAACCACCCTAACATTTGAGGAGTAGTCTCATCTTGCTTTTGCTTAACCCCCAGGATGTGGCACAAGCCAAAAATTATGGGAAATTACTGTAAGTGCTTTTTGAAAATGCCATATAAACCCCTGGCTTTGAGTGCTCTGGGTCCTTGTTGAAACCTGCTGCATCGGGCAGACACTTGGACCCCAGCTAGCTGAAAATAAACCTCGCTGTGTGACTTGCATTATCATGAGTGTCTTCTGTCTGTTTGAGAGGTGGTTGACTCTGGACCCTAACAGTTTCTCATTTCATCCATCTAAATACTGTAATTTCTTAGATATATCTGGCCAACTTTTGGTTACAAAATTGACTTTCAAAAGATCCTGTCCTACCTGAGCTTCTGGGCCAAGTCCTGAATACTTTCTCATCTGGTCCCTGAATCTCTGTGAAAATGCAGTTGGGGTCTCTTCCTTTTCTTGTTGGACTTCAAACACCTTAGAAACATTTTGAGATCTTGGGGCCGATTCCCTAATTCCCTTTATAATTAGCCCTCAAAGGTCCTGCATTTTAGTTCTATCTCCTATATTATTATTACCCCATCTAGGATCTACATTTGGGAACTTTTGTTCCGCTGACTTGACACCCTGATCTGGTGGGTGTTTTTGTTCCCAAATGGACACAGCAGCTCTCCTGATCAGCCCCCCTCTCACCACCAGGGAATGGGATATTCATGATGGACATAAGTTCAACCTAAGTATATATATTAGGTCCCAGGAATTGATCTAGTTAGTCCACTAGGCCAAGGGGATCTTTTAGCAATGCTTAAAATTTCTCACCTCAGTACCCATGAGGGGAGCATTAACAAATTTCCCCTTGTCCTAGTGGGACCTCTCTCAATGGAAACATCTTGGATTCCTGGTGGACTTCCCAGAAGGCAAGGGGAAACTCTAGGTCCTTCTTACATTAAGTCCAGCGTGAGGAAATCCTGGGGCAAAATACCTCTAAAAACTGAAATCAGTCAAAGGGAGAAATAAAGTTTAAAATCTATTCATTGCTCACAAGCTGCAGTCTGGGGCCATTTCTCTCTTTCAGGTTCTAGCATCAGCCAAAAACTGGCTCTCCCCCTGACCTCTCAGGTACAGAATAGCCCTCTGTTGCCCAGGTAATTACTCATTGATATGGAAATGAACTTCTCTCCAACCCTGAGGAAAGATGCAATGCACTAAAGCCATACTTCTTTCTACCTCAGAATGCCTGTTGATATGCAGATGTACTAAAGCCAGGTGAGATACTCTGGAAATGTTACAATTTTACCCACAGAGAGGGAGACAAGAAAGTGGGTCCCAATGTTAAATAGATATGGGTGGGGTGGAAAGAGAGAAAGGCCAGAAAGTCCACTAAAAAGACCCAGAGTTAATTAATTAAAGCTCAAAAAGACAGGAGCAACTTGGCCTGGAATGTTTGAATATTCCTCAGATAAAGGAGGGTACCTCAGCATAGCCTGTCTTTATTATGTTAATCATGCAGGCCCAGCTTCTTCTTTTCTTTTTTTAACTTTTTACCAATATGCTATTTTTTCTTTTCTCTCTGACCCCAAATAGTCTAACCCAGGCAATCAATTCAGCATGCAGGCGCAGCTGTAAACAACATAGCAAAAGGCAGGAAAGATTTCATCCCAAAGATTGCATTTTAATACCCAGGAGGTCCAGAAGCAAGACTCTCAACTTACTCATTAGCAAACAGACAATAACTCGGCCCCTCCCCCCCTTGGAAGAAGGGCAGCCAGTCCTGATGTGCTCCCATACCAGGGAGGTGTTATCCTGGGAGGGGACTAAACCAGTAAATTTCTTGTGTTAAACTAATTTTGCAGAATTACCCAGAGGACTGATAAAAAATATAATGTTTCATCAAAGATACTTGAGACCACCTAACAAGTCTATACCTCCAGGTGCCCGCCACACTCCTAAAGAATCCTTAAAAAGGGAATGAACCCCCATCCCCTGGGGCACTCCTCTCCGAGGCCACTGGCACCCTCAAAGTGCACAACCTTTTAACTTAAAACTTTCTCTCTTCAACCTCCCAGGGTGCCTTTCCCTCCTGAGGAGGCCTGCACTTTCTCCCAGAGTAACTCTAAACAAAACTTTCACTCCACCTCACTGCCATGCCCCCCCCCCCAACTCTCCACTGCAGCCGCAGCAGGGACAGGGACCAAGGAAAACACACAATGCTCTCTCAACACCAGAGCTTGTCCTGGGAGGTCTCTTGTATTTCCTCTTCCCTAGCTTTCCCTTCTCTGGTATTGAGGGGAAATAGGGGAAGCGCCCTTGGTAACCAACAGATTCCTCAGATGAACTGGAGGCTTTATTACTATCAAAAAAAATAACTTAAACCTGGCAAAGCCAGTTCTCATCTGATCTAACTTTAATCCAGACAAAACAGCAAAATTTGATTATCTTCTGTTTGTCCTTAACCCGGTACAGGAGGTGTCCCCCCCAGTACCCTAGCCTTCACCCCAGCAGGCTATCCGGGGGAATTCTAAGGGAGCTCATGTGGTTCCCTTTCCCTGCTTTCCTAGGCCTAGAATTTGTATTTCCTATCTTTCAAGAGGTCCCTGTGTCTGAGTTCCCTGTGTACTCAACCCCCCATAATGGAAGGTTCTTGCACACACCCCAAGATTACACATATCCACCACACACACTTGACCTCTGAAAAATGCCCAACCACCAAGGAAGTACTTATAGCCCAATTTTCCTACCTTGGCTCGTGCAGGAGGTTGCCTGGTTGCTGCGGTGCCTGCGTTTTCTCCCCCTGCGTCGGTCACGCTGTCTCTACACAACAGTCTCCGGTCTCCCCTCAGCTTCCGTGTGAAGGTGAGATGTCCAGACAGAGCGGGCTGCCCAAAGCCAGGTGGGACGCGTCTTCTCACTCCGCTTGGGCCCCTCCTCACACAGGCAAGAGGATCCCGGATGAGCCCCCAAATTGTGAAAAACACACTCACTGGTCCATATTCAATAAGTGGACATGGAGACAAAGAGAACAGCAGAGTGAGGCTTTAATGACGATCTTGCAAGATCGGGTGTCTGGTGTGCAGGCACACCTGAGGAGTTTGGTGTCAGTAATTTATCTCCTAGTGCGTGAGTCACTCCCCTGGTTCCTCATTGGCTGAGTACTACAGGGCTCACATTCTTCCCCAGACGTAACCTAAGCCAGTTATATCTTGCCTTTACATTTGTCTTAATCTTACTGGTAGGTTTAAAAAACTCAAACAGGTATCCCAGGCCCTTATCAATTCCCCCACCCCCACTCTCAGCCCGAGCAGCTTCCACCACGTCGCCCTTTGTTAATACCTTACTGTTAAAATGTTTAAACATCCTAGTGGGAATAAATCACATTTAGGTTTTATACTCTTTCCTAACAATAATAGATACATGCTGAGATCATACTCAAAAGTCTCTTGCCACAAGTATCAAAACTTTCAGAGCTGTTTCCTTTGTGAAGATTTTAAGCAGCAAGATCTTTTTCTCTCTAGTTCACCTTCTATGACTGAAATTTACAATAATGTACCAGCTTATCATCACTGCCAAAACGTTCACAGAGGGTTCCAACTTCCCGGCTGGGGAGAAGGCAAAGGACTGATTCACATGAATAAACAACTGTTTTGAGCCCAGAAGTTTAAGGAACTTTTTTATGAAGTCAGTGAGTTCTTGGATGGTTCTGGTTTGCTCTACAACCCATTTGTTTCCATTATAGGAGAGTCTCCCACAGCCTTTAACAGAATGTCCATTTTTTTCTTGGTGTCGCCGGCAGGGTCCTCTGTTCCGGGGGACACTGCAGCGGAAGAAGGGGACTCCAGAGTGGCTGTTTCTGGGGAGACCTCCACAAGGCCTTTGCCGTCAGCAGCAATTAAGGGAGGGAACTGCAGTGCGAACTCAGGCTCTTCAGCCATCTTGCTCCATGCTAATGTCCTCTTTTTTGAAGCAGCTGCCTGCGGTTATTAGATTATAACTAATATAGTGCTTTCAACTCTTGGCTAGTTGGTGGCTTTGAGTTTCTCTAATGTATTTCCATTGTGTGCACTGACACAAACTCATGGACAAGGATGTGTTGGGCAGGAAAATAGATGTGAGTGGGGTGGAAAGAGAACAAGGCCAGAAAGTCCACTAAAAAGACTGAGAATTAATCAATTAAAGCTCAAAAAGCCAAGAGCAACTTGGCCTGGAATGTTTGAATATTTTCCAGATAAAGGAAGGTACCTCAGCATAGCCCATGTCTTTATTGTGTTAATCATGCAGGCCCAGCTGACTTACCTTTACCTATATGCTGTTTTTTTTCTCCTTCTGGCCCTAATTAAGTAGTTTGTAACCTACGCAACTAATTTAGCATGCAGGCCCAGCCGTAAACAACATAGTGAAAGGCAGGAAGGATTCCATTTTAAAGATTGTATTTTAAATACCCAGGAAGTTAAAAAATGTAAGATTCTTAACTTACTCTTTGGCAAACAGACAATAACTCAGCCTACCTTGTGGGCTGCATAGGCAGGCAGCCTGTTTGATCTGCTCCCAGACCAAGATGCCCATATCCCAGGGAGAAATTGGAGCAGGAACTTCCTTGCGTTAAGTTAATTCTAAGTATTCAAAGACCACTTAACAAGTCTGCACCCCCAGCCCTTAGTCACATACCTAAAGAATCCTTAAAAGGGGGAACCCCCAGGCTTTCCACGCTCTCCTCTGTGCGTAACCTTTTAACTTTAAACTCTTTTCTATCTTTCAGGGGGCGCTCCTCTCTCTGGGGTCACCCTCCACTTTCTAGGTGTGTATCTGCGCCTCTCCAGTAATGTTTTATTACTTTGCTTTGTCATTCTAATCCTCCAAATTCTGGCTTTAACCTTCACTCTATCCTATCTCAGACCAATAAGGAGGGGCCGCTGAGAGCTCAGACCTAGGTTTGCAGATTAACATAGCCTGGGTGGCTGGGAACTGCAATTTACAGTCATGTTCTTTAGTAACCTGCCTGAAGTCTCCCTTCTTTACCTATGGGAAGTTCGCAGAACATAATCTCGCCCCATCTAGTGCTCTGCAGCTCCCCCAAAGCCTGGGGTGGTAGGGACTCAGTTGCCATGCCATGCAGATCCAAGCAGATGCTGGACGCCAGGTGACCCTGGTTTAAGGAGTTAATAGGGGTCGTGCCCCATGGTGAGTGGCTGTTCAATGAACTACCTTAATGAATTCCTTCCTCACTTTGTCCTCTCACTTCACTGTCTCACTGAACCAAACTCGCCCTAACAGATGCGCTCAGGGAGATGTTCTGTTGTTGAGGAGGAGCAATTGGAGAAGTACACAAATAGATGCTATTATGTGTGTTATGTGGTGCTTATTTAAGGCACTGAACAGGGCTGTAAGGTTAACTTAGACTCCTACATGAACCATGTGCTTGGCTACATGAGGTCCAAATAGGAATATCAGTCTGACCACAGAGGAAAGAGAGAAAACAATCTTATAGCTTCATTTTCATGCAGGATGGGGAATGTGTGGGTCAAGAGATTACAATCGAAACTAAATTATGTTCCTTCTCTTGAAGTAATCCTGAATAACTGTCTGTTGTGTGATAAATTGGAGTAGCAGCAGTGTTAGGAAGGAGAGAGCGATATGAAATAGACCCTAGACTGTAGTTTGGAGAACTGGACTTTAATTCTTTTTTTGGTGGCTTTGTGTGAGTTACTTCACCTCACTGGACTTGTCTCAGTTTCCTCTGTAACATGGAGCAGGTAGACCATATGGCCCAACTCTAATAAACAGTGATGCACTGAGTGTTTTGTTTTCCCTGACTCGGTACTCTTCGATTTTATTATCTTAGAGGTAAGACAGACATTAAGCGATTAATTTTAAGTGTGATAACTATTAGGACATGGGAAGTATAAGGTGCAATGGGAACATATAACATGGGATTACATGTTAAGAGGGGTCAGGAAAGACCTCTGAGAAGGGTTGGTTTAGACTGAGAATTAAGGGTGAGTAGGAATTGGCCAGGTAAAGTTGTTTTTGTTATCTTTCTGTTGCTGATTTCTACTTTAATTCCACTGTAGTCGAAAACATAGTTTGTGTTATTCCAATTCTTTTAAACTTGTTAAGGCTTGTTTTATGACCAGGGATATGGTCTATGGAGATGTTCATGTACACATGAAAAAAAATGTGTATTCTGCTGATGTTGGGTAGTGTTCTATAAATGTCATTTAGATCAAATCGGTTAATGGTACTAATCAATTATTTTATATCCATGCTTATTTTCTACCCAATAATTCTATCCATTACTGAGAGAGGAGTACTGAAGTCTCCAACTATAATTATGGGTTTGTCTTACTACAATTATGAATTTGTGTCTTTATCATTATGCAATGCCTCAATTTATCCCTGGTTTGTTTGTTCTGAAGTCCATTTTGTTTGATATTAAAGTAGTCATTCCAACTTTTCTTTATTAGTGTTTGTATGGTAGATTTTTTCCCCATCCTTTTATATTTAATATCCGTGTGTCATATTTGAAGTGAGTTTTTGTGGACAGCATATATTTGGGTTGTATGTTTATTCTTTGTTTATTCTGACAATTTTTGTCCTTTAATTAGTGTGTTTAGGTCATTTAAATTTAACACAAATATTAACATGTTGGGATTTATCTTTTCCATTTTATTATTACTTTTCTGATTATTTCCTCTATTTTTTCTTTCCTATTTCCTGCCTTTTCATTATTTGAATATTTTCAGTATTCTGATTTGTCTGATGGATTTTTGACTATATCTCTTTTAATAGTTTTTTTAGTTGCTCTGTGGATTAAAATATATCTACTTCACTTTTCACAGACTACTAGAATTCATATTTTAAATCTTCTTGTAGAATGTAGAAACCGTTCCCCTTTATATTATTGTTGTTACATGTTTTACATCTGTGTCAGTTATTAATTTATTGCCTTTTAGCTCCAAATACACTCTTCAATATGTGCTTTATGATAACTAACAGAATTCCTTGAAGCATTTCTCCTTTGAAGTGAGCATAATGTTAGGATTTCTCAGTTGAGAGCACTCATTGCAGGAACATGACAGGAGGAAGATGCTTCCTGCAATTTCTGGCATACGGGAAGGAAAAGGTCTTCTCTATTGGTATTGAGGACATCCAGTGGAACCTGCCTGAGGCATAGGCCCTGAACACCATCTCTTTGTGACCCTGCAGCCTTGGCCTGGCAAAAACCTGTCCATCACCCTCTTGACACAGATCTGCTACTCTTTCTGCAACGCCCCCCTCCCACACACACCTTGGCCCTTCACAGCCACCTGTGGCACAAGGGTCCACAAAGAGTAGCCTACTCCTATGCAAGTTCCCTCTCCCCTAATAGCCCATGTGCTCTGAAGGCCTTCTGCCCTATTGGCACCCAGATTCCCACTGCACACCCACACCATAAGTTGTTAATCACTTGTATACCCACATAGATTCTAGGGGGTTGCCTATTTGTCCAGGAACTTCAGAACAGCTCTAGTCTGGCTAAGCTAGCAAATTACTCTGCCATCTCATAGTAGAAATATACCTTTTCCAACAAGGTCTGAAATTCTAAATTTGTCCTTAATTGTGTTTTAGTTAGTTTGGATTACTATAATGGAATGCCATAAACTGGGTGGCTTATAAACAACAGAAATTTATTTCTCATAGTTACAGAGGGTGGGAAGTCCAAGATCAAGGTGCCAGCAATTGTAAAGGCCCACTTCTTGGTTTACAGGTAGCCATCTTCACACTGTATCCTCACATGGTGAAGAGAGATCAAACTTTCACGTCATTTCTTGTAAGGGCAGTAATTCCACTCATAAGGGGCCCACCCTCATGACTTAATTACCTACCAAAGGCCTCATCTCCTAATAGCATTACCTTCAGGGTTAGGATTTAAAACTATGAAGTTTGGGGGCAGGAGGGGTCACAGATATTTAAACCATAGCACCTAGTTTCCCCAATGATAAGATCTTGCAAAACTGTAATATATATACTGAGGAACAGAGCTGGAATGGGGCAGTCACATCATGTAGTCCAATACCTACCTTTTCCAGATAAAAAGCCTGTGTGGCTAAAAAAGAACTTGAGTGCTTCAAAGC